TCTCAGTTTTTCTTGAAGAGCTTATGAATTTAAAATATGCTGTGAATTGTTAAAAATTTATCCAATTTTGTGGAGAAAGCATATTATTTTAATTTTATTTATAAAACTTTTTGTTTGGTTGATTGATTCATGTTAGATTGTTTTCCAAGTCATGTAAGGTAGCCTAGTTTGAAAATTAAACTTTTGAAAAAAATATACAAGCAATTGTGTTTTATATAGGTAAAACTTCGTCTGTGACAGAAATTCATAAAGTTTTAATATTAATTATGCCAACTATAAGTACTTTCAAATTATCAATATTATGAAAGTAAAAATAGTGTAATTGCTTCACAGTTCATTTAGATTGGTTGACTATTATAAAATGTGTCTCCTAGTCAGTAAATGTAAATTTTATGGGCATATAATGCTAAAATCTGGGGTTTGATTCCCTGTTATAATCAGTGCAGATAGCCCATTTTGCAGTTTGTGCTAAAACAATGACTTACTATGATATGTCTCCTAAAAAAGCACTTATAGTGCAAAGTGTAAATTTCGGAAGAATTTGGAAGGTATATAAAAAAAAGATGCAATAAGGATTGCCTTTTTGTCAAAATTATAAAAAAATTTATTTTTGAAGGTTATATCAAAGTAAAACATGAATCTATCACTAATTTGCAGGTTTAAAAAAAAAACTTTCTCATCCTTTAGTCTTAAAATAGAAACTATGCAGGAAATTATTAGTGGCAGGCAGTGTCATTTTAAAAAATGGAACCATTTTGAAATTGATTTAGCATTTTTATCTGGATTAAAAGCAACACTTATTGTGTTTTACTTGTAAGTTTTCCAGTTATTGGCTTTAATTTTTATAATCTTTGAGTAAAAACTTGAAATATTACTTTTCCTGAAATGTATTAAAAATGTGAAAAAGTATGCCAATTTTGTAATACAATTTTAACTATTTTTCATGGGCAAGGGGACAGGAAAATGGTGTCATTTCAAAAAGTTTTAATCTGTTAATTAAAAGAATGAGTTCCAAACATGCCCATCCAGCTTCCTTTGTGAGTAAATGACGAATGAAGTACTTTTTTTCAGAGGTGACGTAAACTAAGATATATGAAACAAAATATTGTATGACTTCCTGCAAGTTTAGCAAAACGTGCAAAAATTAAATACCTTATTATAATCTCTCGCTTTTGTTTTTTCTATAATAAATTGGAAGTATACAAGGTTTTAGTGCATCATACATGATAAATGGCATCTTAAGGTGCAAATGCAAAGTAGCAAGGTGTTTCACTTGTTATTTGTGTGATCAGCAAAATAGTGAGGTGTTTTACTTATTTGAGGGTTTTCTCATTACATATGTGATAACACTGAAATTGCTCTCTCGATTAAGACATTGAGAAAAATGGGAAGACAAAAGATATAGGGAGTATATATAAAATAAATGTAGATTAGTTGAAAAAATGTCAATGTGAATGTCACAGCTGCGGAGAACTCATTATTTAATGTCAAAGTATGGATGATTTGCATATTACATCTGGTATCAATGAGTACTCTTAATCATTTTTCCAGCATTGTAAATAGAAGAAATACAACACAGGATTTGAATGATATAGAAGGAAAATGATAAGATGACTAAATTAGCTATTTTACATAAATCTTGGAAAATCATTTACCTTGAGCATCTAGAACAACTCATAAATGACGTTAGCAACACAAGATAAACGAAGTGTCTGAAACTTGCTGAAGAAACTTGTGAAGCACACAACAACTCTTAAGTCATTACTGCAGCAGAGGTTGTCACTGGCATCACTGTTTTCCTCATACAACCATGTCCAAATGGAAAAAAATGTTGAAAGCAGTCAGTTATGATGCTGTCTTTGGTCAAAAGGCTTTAATATCAACAACAACAACAAATTTTAAAGCATTTTTGAAGGTAAAGAACTGGTTAGAAGACAGCATCATGTTGCCAGGTGCTCAGAGGATAATTTTAACAATATAGTAACATATATATTCTATTATACAGGCAATACTGAGGTGAATGAAATGTTTGTACTGGACGGTAAAAAAACACAAAACTTCCTACGATCATTTGAAAACAAATATCGGAAATTATACAATGATTGTATTAAGAAATTTTTGTTAAAGACAATCAAATTGGTGCAACTTTGTTTCTGAAATTAATCAATGCTCTAACCTATCACAATACAAAAACTGAAACAGCAGCAGATTACGCTATTGGATCTTATTATATGACAATTTTGAAACTAACTCGAATAATCAACTCTATTAATTATATTGAAATGTATTCATTAAGAGCCTTGAGATGATGCAGGTATCACTGAAGTCAACATTTGAACAGGTTTAATATAATGAAGATTCTTGTCAAAACACTTGAACTTGCATTACAACATACTAACGTGACTGGCTTTCATTGATTTCCTCATATATGTATGGAATGCCAAAAACCAATTCAATTCAATTCTTTGACAAGTTAAGATTTCTGCCTCTATGAACTGCTAAGTAAATCTTTAAAAAACTTTCAATATGCGCCTGTTGTAATATTTATGTGGATAGCAATAAGCATTTTTCATTAAGTAAAGGAGCAAAAGTTTCCTGTCTCCAGTTAATGCTGAGGGTATGCCAACCATACAAATAAGTCCACCTTCACTTTGACATTCCTCTCCAGCGAACTCGCTTTTCATTCTTGTTTATCCCTTTAATAACATTTGTCTGCTAATCTTGCACACTTAAGAGATCAATACTTGCAGCCATTTCATTTTCAAACAATGTGCTTTTCAAATGGATGATGGTAAGTTAACAGCCAAAACTGTTGTGTAGTTGTATCTGATTTTTAGAGCTGGGTGGTTAATGGAACTTGCTAATCGATGAATGATTGGGCTAATTAATTCATCATATTCAACAAATCGATTATTCTTGGCTAGTTGGAATTATCAGAAATACTTATTTCAATTAATTAATTTTTGTGAGTTGCAACACTAAACAATTTTGATTAATTACAAATAATAAATCATCATGGGAATAGTTCAGTTATTTAGATAATTGGAATAATTAAAAAGTAATAATAATTTTGATTACTCAGTTATTTTACATGATACTTATTCACGCTCACAAGTAATCAACTGATCTAAACCCTAAACCATTGTTCCATTGGAGTATGTTGTGTGTGTGTGTATAAACATACATGAAATATGTATATTTATAACATCTATTCAGTATGCTCCCTAAAGCAGGCCTTGACAAATCTTGCTCGCCATGGCAACTAAATATTTCATAATGGGGCCAAGTATTTTCTCCCATTTTATTCTTGTGTATTGATGTGCTAAATAGAACTTCAATCTAGAACAGTTCTGGACCCTTGGAAGTCCAGAAATATTTTTCTGTTTGTTGAGTCTGAAATTGAACTTTTTCTAGGATTTTAATGGCAGATTCAGCCCTGCAGTTACACAACATGTTACTAATTTCATGCCATTTTGTTTTTCTTATTTCTCTCAATTCATCCAATTGGCGCAAGTGTTTAGACTCTTATGGGACCAAAGGCAGTTAGTTCAGGCAATACTATCAAGCGGTTGTTGATATCATGTGATTGTTAGCATGCTGTGAAAGTAAATAAATATACATAGCCCCCATTTCCCAGTACAAGCAGTAGTGAAGGTAGGTTAGGGACACCAAAAGGTCTTTGTATATCACTGTACAGTGTTGTAGTGACGAGTAGATTAGACCTATTCTGAAACAACCTGCTAGGCCTATCGATATCACAGTGATTATTTTACTTTTATTCAATGGAAGCATCTACCTAAGTTATAGTTATTTAGTCTACTATTTTAATAATTGTACATATTAAAGTTAAACTTTAACATACATTATATAACAGACTTTGTTTTTTAGTATAAAACTGTTTCATAGCATAACCATACAACCGACTCTAAATATATTCCATTACTTTTCTGTATTGGACCTGGCTCCTATATCTGAAAATATTTGTTGAATCCTGCACTAAAGCATGTGTGTATGTCTAATCCACATTGTTTCTAGAGTATATTTATAACATCTGATAAGCATCTCCCCTGCAATGTGTACATAGTGTCTACTCATTATCTTGACTTAAAGTATGATTAAGTAGGTATTTATGGATAGCTTTCTCACTGATAACTGTTATCCCTCTATTTTCGTTATGTTCTCAGTTTAATGCTTAAACTGTATCCTCCTGACATGACTGTAAAATCTTAAACAGTATTCAAAGGTAGCATGTTTATGAATAGTTTTGTCAATTATGGTTATGAGTATTTCTCTACACTTATGTTCACGATGTTAGAAAAACACTCAGGTTCATGAAATCAGTTTAACAAAAAATTACGATACCCTATAACCCGAGAGCTTTCAAAAAGTCCACCTTCTGAAATTGCTCAGGTTATAGGTGTCGTATTTTCTCTGTACTTATGTATATTTGTTCTCAAATTTCATTACTTTTCATAAGTATGATTTTAAAGTTATATACTGCAATAATTTTTGGTGGTTCATTTTGACAGTATATTCAGTTATCATCAAAATTTCCATCAGTCTCCATTACTAACCACCATTTGTTTCTCTGTGTTCCTATAACCAGTTTCTTGAATTATCAGTGTTGCTCTAGAGTTCACCGAATATTTCCTCTGTAATGACTAAATGGAGAAGAAATTATTACCTAACCTACAAATAAAATATGAAGAACTTTAGAACCTCAGTTGTCTACCTTTCTAATAAGAAACTTGAGACTGCAACTCTAAAAAAAGGCTACTATGACACTTAACACATTTTGAGAACATATCTTGCCATCTTCAGTAAACTGCAGCATAACCTGATTTAACCATATATGTATATTTAGGTGCACTGTTTTCCAGTTGTTGGTGAAACTTTACTTTTTTTTCTTTTCAGGCTACTTGATACTTTAAGTAAAAGTTATAATTCTAAACCAATCCTCTCGCAGTAATGTTAGAGTAAAACAAGACAAACCACAAGAATGATTCTGCTTTATTTTATTAGCCAGGCTAAAATCATTTTCCACAATACCCATCCAGAAGAAACACTTGTCAAAGTGTTTATCACCTCTTACTTAATTAAACAGAGGATACGAACAAGGAATGTACAATTTTGTTCAGTGACAGTAATAAAATTGAAGTCCATTTATATTTCATCTTTTTTTTTCTTCTCCCTGTTTTAGGCACAAATGAAATTCTTCTTCTTAGGTAGATGCTAAAACCCTTATTTAAATTAAAAACTTATTAGCTGTACATTCCTTCCACTATTCTTAATCATTTTATTTTTTTCTTAGTCATCTGGGCCACAACAGTTTCTTTATGTTACAGGCGTAACACCAGCACATATCATAATTCATTGAACGGTTACATTATTAGTAAGTTTCAAAAATTATCCAAAACTTTTAAGCTGTCAAATAATTATAACAACAAATGAGAAAAAAAAAGTGTACTTATTTATATTGATTAATCCAAATAAAATTCTAGCAAATTTATTAAATGCAATGGAAGTAGTAGTGTTATATTAATTATAAGTTATGCATTAGAGATATATTAGGGGGTTGCAAAGGTATTACCAAAAGTCTGTACCCATTCCTTTAAACTCTGTGAATGATCCAGAACCAAAAACAACTCCTGATCAAAATAAACTGGTGTAGCATACATGCGTAAAACAAAATATTAAAATAACAAACTGCCACTTTTCTTATTACAACAAAATCTAGTATTTCCTTTGATTTTTCTTACGATCTTTTTTAAAGTTCTCCATTCTTAACAACATAATTTATGTGACAGATGCATAAACTTCAAAACAAATAGAAAAAAATTACACATATATATGAAGTTAATTAACAGCATGGTTCATGTTTCAAATACTTAATTCACATTCAATGTCCTTATAAAATTAAAAAAACTGCTATTCCACCATTTAAGCCATAACCAAGATTTCTTTTTTTACACAAGATAAATTACACCATTCTGAAACAGTTTTCACACACCGAACAATACTCACTGTATGTTGAGTCGCATCCACCAACATGTTTGTTTCACCTTCTCACCCCCAAAAGTAACTCAAGATCTTGAAAGTAAAATATTTATCTTGCAAAATAAGAACTAAGTTTCCTTATTCTAGATTTGTTTACCTTCTATTATTTAAAAATTAAAAACAAAAAATCCATGTCAGATAAAGTGCTGCAAAAAAACAACTTTTGTACCAAAATATGCATCTTATTTTAAATGATTAACAATGTGGATTATAAGTATACATAGTTTCACAGCTGATACTGGAAGTGAAAAATAACAATGCTAAAAAAATATTTCCAGACAAAAACTTAGCATCAAATCTTCATCGAGTTTTTCTAAGTACAATATTTATGTCTTCATTAAGTACGTTTTGGGTTTTCTGTTTGTAACTAATGTCAAAACCTTTACTCATGAATAACTGTTGATGCAACAATATCTAAATTTTTCAACTCGGGGTTAGGCAGTCAAAAGTTGCTTAGTTAAACATCTTTCTCTTTTTCGACACAAGTTTTTATTGGTTGTACATAGCAAAAATTTTGTTTATTTTATTCAAAATGTTTCACCAGGTGGCAACTGATGATGCTAGGTAAACCTGGCAAAACAATGTGAATAAAATAAATAAAAGTTTCACTATGTACAATCAATAAAAATTTGTGTTAATTTCACAAACATAGTTCTTTATAATATTTAATTCATAAAGAATAATTGGTTTTTATAAAAAAGAAAATATAAGATTGCTAAATAGTACATAAAATCAATGCACAAGCTAACATATTTTGAATTAAAAGAATAAAATAATTTCCCAGTTCTAACTTGTAAATCTCTATAGATTAATAAATGGTATATTTTTTTTTATTATGAACACAAAGGCTATGTCAGATAAAGGAAAAAAAATAGTATCTACAATTTCCTACAAAACCCCTTTTTGGTAAATTTTATGGATATAATACATAAATCACTGAACACATTATTAAAACAGGGTCAGTTTACATAATTTTGTAATAAACACCAAAATAAAGTTTGTCTCCATTGAAAGAAATTATCCATTTTCACGAACGTTTATTTATTGTAAAGGTTTTGCACACTAGAATGCTATAATAATCAGGTATGGAAAATAACTTTTTCAAAATTGTCTCAAGGATAAAAATACTTTTTATCTTGCTGTTTGTCACCCAATTCAATATATATAGTATCATACACTGCATAATAAAATATCTTAAGAAAGTTGTATATATAATTAAAGTTGCAAATAGTATATTTCTAGCATATTAAGAAGATATAATAGTAAATCGTAGGTTTCAAAAACACGATTTATGAATCTCATGTCATGATCAATAACACTTTCTGCTGGTATCCAAATCAAATGTGTTGTGTCAGTACTACCAAGTACATAAAAAAACAATAAAACTCCACAGGTGTCACAGATGCACATATATATACACACCAATCAAATGAAATCCTGTTACAATAGTTAACTGTTGGGGCCCAGAAGTAAAAAGAAAAACAAAAATTAATGATGTCAGTTCTAAAACCAAACAATGTATATTTATTTCAAGTATAGCTGACAAACTTTGCATTCTTCAAGCAGACAGCTACACAGCAGCCTCTCGGAATGGATTAAATATGCCTAGATCAAAACTTTTTGCTGTTGCCACAGCAACCATCAATCCAGCAGTAGCTTCTAAATAACATACGATTGCTGTTAATTTGCACAGTGGACTAGGTTTCCACTAACAGAGTTTTTGAGTCACAATAAATGTGTCTGAATAGTTTTGGGAGTTTCTTAGGTCCAGAGAGAAGTCCAAACGCCACTGTTTACCATCTTTCCTCTCGCTGAGTTGATTCAGTCAAGTGTAATATGGAGGTTCAGGGGAGCAACGGGGTGGAATCATTTTGAAAACATGTTTATTAATCAACACACTTAGGAAAATCCTAAGAAGTCTGATACTGTAGGCTTAAGTTTGGAGCTGCTAGTGTTGCTGTCATCATGCTCTTGTACTTCGTAGAAGTTATAGATAGAACCAAATAAAACTTTTTGACAAGTGCAAGGCTTCCTTGCTAGGCAAGTGGAGCAGTCCCAAACCTTCCGGGGACTACAGGAGTCCCAATTCAATAAACAAGGTTAATGACTAAAATTAGTTGTAATCCCATACCCATCATTTGCCAATAATCTGATGCAATGCACAAATATCTCATAGGTCGATATAAAGCGAGCTAATAAGATGCAGGGTTAACAGAACATCAAAGAGTGGACTACAGCAGTTGTTCCAAAAAGGGCAGAAAATTGACTGGCAGTTGAAACAATCAATGATATTTAGTTGCAAGTTAAAAAAAAAAAAAACACAAGTGTTGCTGCTGAACGGATATTTCACGTTGTCACATACAAGCACAATATATTGGATAAAAACATCGAACGAAGTTCACAGCCACTACAGGATGCACATGTTAATGTTCCGGTTGTCCTCTATTTCCTCGAGGCTTAAAAAAAACATGATACTTTATTACTCAGAGAAAACAGAATATAAGTCAATGACAAAAAGAAAACAATAATTCAGTATTAAAGAAAATTATACCAGAAAATATCTTCTTGATGAAGTATGTTACATCTAACTTTAAAGATTAATCCAAAACTTCTAAGTTTGCCAGCCTAAATATAATCTTTCCACATATTTCTAACACCATGTTACATGTAGAGAAAATTTCATGTTAGAATTGTACTAGCAAGCCCCAAACATTTTACATCAGATAATGTTTAATAGCATAAAGGCTAACACTATTTAGTTGCATGTTCAAACTCTCAATACATATTTCACAGAAATATACTTACTTTATCATTATATCCTATATTTTAGTTTACACTCTGCTGAAAATTGTCAGAAGATGCTCAAAGATTACATGTTCTCTCATCTAACTCAAGTTATATTGAAGCATTGAGTCAGATCTTCAGCAGTTTAATTAACCAATAAATTTCTATAATAAATAAAACTTACACTGTTTGTGATTTTGCAATATGACTTCACATGGCAAATATATAATTTGATATGCAACGTCTTGAATGTTGCAATACAGAACTGTAAATTCATGTTTTAAGTAATACAATGTTATTACATGAATGTTAGCTTTTATTCTCTCTGTCACATACAGTTAAAGAGAATAACGGGTGGGGGGGGGGTCTACATGACTGCATCAACACATTGATGGTTTTCAGAATGTCAAACATTAGAATTCAGATGACATTACCATAGTTTCCCTACAGTATTAGTGTTCATTCTTGGGGTTTGAAAAAAGTCAGTCTAATAGTTCTATTCATACATATCCAACAAAAGATTTAAACTGTCAGTTTCTTTGTTTTAGAGCAAAGCCACATTGGTCTATCTGCTCTGTCCTTTGCATGGAATCAAACCTCTAATTTAAGGGTTGTAAGTCCAAAATCTTATTGCTATCCCACTGAGTGGACATATAAACTTTCAAACAAATAACAGAATGACAATGAATAAATAAACATTTCAGTAACTTTATCTTTTTGAAACTATATAAGTAATAGCCCTTAATAAATACAGAAATGGAAGCACACTCTTTTTAACAACTACAATATTCATAATTTTTGTAGCTATACAATACATAGAGAATTTCTCATTATGTAGTAATAAATGTTAATCTAATTTTTTATAATGTATGCGAGACCACTGTGAAAACTTTGTTTTCAATTAAACAGCAAAAAAGATTATGCCATTATATATGTGTAAATATTTTTTAATCCCTTAAACTACACCGATAGTTTAAGTTTTACAATTTGCTTTATCACACGTTTTTGGCTAAATAAAAAATTTAATTTTCATTTTGCAAGTGTTCAACCAAGTATATTTATTAAGATATGACTATGAAATAGACACACGCTTGTTTAAAAATTTATTTCGAAATAAATGAAAGATAAAATCAACTGAACCATGACATTCTCACATTATAAACATCATATGATGAATACATCAACAGTTTTGTGGTATAGTTTGTAGCAAGGATTCAAACAAAAGTCTGGGTGATTTTGGAACACGCTTCACAGTTATGTATTGAATCTTTGCATTTTCCCTTTTAACTGCATAATCTGCACTTTTTCTCACTGTCTTACTACTTGAACCAATTTTGTTTGCAAATGTTTAACATCTTTAGCTTTTGGTTATTTACTTGCAACTGAAGATGGTAAAAGCTCCTTTATTACCACCAGATGTCATTTTGTTCCCAAAATATTGAGTATACAAATAAAAAGAACTTAGCAGAGTCATTTATAATGACTTAATACAAACTGTCTTATACTACCTTACAGTTTTTCTTGAACAAGGATAATATGATAATATCTGATCTTGCCTGTTGATTACACTCATATATATCAGAATTCTTGTTGTGAACATTCGTAACTTTTTTTACTGCACTTCTTTGCTGTTTGGTGGCACACATGAAGAAATAAGCTTGCTTGTCATACAGATCTATTTTGTTTAATGGCAAGTATTATTGGTTACAGAGGTAAAAACATAACGTGTGATACTAGAATTATTGTTTATCTGTTGTGCATACATCTACATGATGATGCTAAAAATGCTACTGTTTTAGTATCTAGTTGTATTTCTCTTTTATCAGCATCTTAGCAGAGATATTTTGCTAAAGTTCCATAAAAAAATCAGCATTACAGCATGGATATAAACCAGCATTTCCCAAAGTGTGGGATGTGCACATCCAGGGGGTACAAACGATTAGGTTAGAGTCAATAGTTTGGTTTGAGTTTTGAACAAAGCTACACGAGGGCTATCTGCACTAGCCATCCCTAATTTAGCAGTGTAAGATTAGAGGGAAGGCAGCTAGTCATCACCACCCACCATTAACTATTGGGCTACTCTTTTACAAACAAATAGTGGGATTGACCGTCACGTTATGATGCCCCCCACGGCTGAAAGGGTGAGCATGTTTGGTCTGACGGGGATTCGAACCTGCGACCCACAGATTGCGATTCAAGCGCCCTAACTACCTGGCCTTAGAGTCAATAGTGCAATAATGCAAAATTAAGCATTTTCGTACATTTTGTATTAATGAAAATAACACATAATTACTGGAACACAAAATTTTAATGTGTTTCCATGTATTACATCTTGTCACTGAACTCACTCTTTCACTCAGTAAAAAAAAAGAAAAAAAAAAGGTCACAGATGACGAAAGTTTGGGAAACACTGGATATAAACCACCGACTATCTAAGTGTCTTTATCATAAATATTATGCAAATTAGATAAATGTTTAAAACAAAAATATAATAATTAAATACAAAATAACTTAATGTTAAAATCAAAATTAACTGCAATAATTCTAAAACATAATGGTACAATCAGCTCATGCTCCTGGAAATCTATAAATAACAATGAAAAACGTTTCAAAGAAATTGAAACAAGAATATTAAAAAAATGCACTATTTACAATGAGAAAGATACTCATGTGCACTAGCTGGAACAAGTTCAATGTTCCATACAAACACTAGAGGGTTGAATACGTTATATTAGTTTTAAATATGCAAATCAGTAAGTAACATGACAACCACAGCCAATAAAAAGACAGTATCAGAACTACATTTTGACATTATTTTGAATTTAGTATTGATCACTTTTGGTGCAAAATATTCATACACTCAGATCAAAAAAGATATGTTCAGAGAGGAGAGTTGGAATTTCAAAGATGAGCATATTCCTTGTATTTAATGGCATTGAAAAACAAAAAAAAATATGGATCAACTTAGGACACCAGGACCATCCAGAAAGAGATCTATAACAAGTCATTCCCAAGCTATGGTAAGCAAAGTGTAATATCTTGCAACAGTGAGAATTTACAAACAAGAATGTCAGTAGCAAGGGCTATCCACTTGTGCCAGGATCAGTATACAACATAATCCAGAAGGATCTACGTATGGAAAGGAGGTCAACAGGATATCGGTTCACCAAGAGAAGGTTTCCTGCCTTATTTCCCATCAACCATCACATACCTCAAGCAGTTGGACAATGAAATAGGTATTCATGTTATTCTATATGAAGACATACTGGTCAAATTACTACAATGAGTAGTAGTGTACTTTGGACATGACAACTTTACAATGGAGCCTTTTGCAATGGAAACTATACTGCAGGGTAATTTTCAGGATGCATGGTCATCGGATAAAGCACCACTAACATAGTAAGGCTCAAAAATTGTTTTAATATAATGTACTCAACCCTCTATAATTAAAAACAAAACATTTCAAGCCATCTCAGCTCTCATCAGCCCAGCACAGTTAACAATACAGAATATTATCTAAATGAGAATTATGCATGAATTAGGTATGAACAAAATATTGGTGTAAAACTTGGTCTAAATGTACACTACTGTAATCTTTCTAAAATAAATGTACCTGCTGCTACCTTTAAGATTTAAAATGGTGTAGAATGAAATATCTATTAAATTTATTCATTGTTGTCATGGTTAGAGCACCTATTACATCGATTAATCAAAATTATGATTAAATCAATTAATACCATGAAAATATTCAACTTGTCTTTATGGTTATTCCAACCATCCAGAAAGAAGAATTTCTATTACAGGATGGTTGGAATAACCATAAAGACAAGTTGAATATTTTAATGATATTAATTGATTTAATCATAACAAGTTGATTATTTCATGATATTAATTGATTTAATCATAATTTCTATTACTGGATGGTTGGAATAACCATAAAGACCCATTGTGTAGCTTTGCACTTAGTAACAAACGTAATGGAAATATTTTGATTAATTAGGTAGTTGAAATAATTTGAAACCCATATTTCAATTAGGTGAATATTTTTATGAGTCATGAACCACTAAATGATTAAATTTAACAACTGAACAAACTTGAATTGATTGGAAATAATAATGAAACTCATAATGGCAATATTCTGATAACTTAATAATTGGAAACACCAATTTAAATTAGTTGATTATTTTCATGATATTAATTGATTTAATCATAACTTCTATTACTGGATGTTTGGAATAACCATAAAGACAAGTTGATAATTTTATGATATTAATTGATTTAATCATAACTTCTATTACTGGATGGTTGGAATAACCATAAAGACAAGTTGATTATTTTCATGATATTAATTGATTTAATCATCTTTGTGCAAGTTTTCATCGCTAATATCTTATCTATCTCGAGAGCATCTTTCTTGTTAATGTAACTGATTATGTTGTTTGTAGCATGATTTCTAAAATAATCATGTTCCAATAGTCGAAGCTGCGCAGTGATAGTAAATCTACAGTGGAAGTGATTTTCAAGTGTTTTTCGTCTACTTATGAAAAATAGCCCCTGGTAATGCAGTGATAAATCTGAGGGTTTATTGCGTTAAAAACTGGATTTCAATACACAAGTTGGGTACATCGCAAATAGCCCATTGTTTTGCTAATCAACGAACAAACACGCTACT